TGGAGGAAGAGGCTGCTGACTCCATGGAGGCTAGAAAAGAGAGAAAGAAGAAGGAGGAGGAGGAGGAGAAGGAGAAGAAGAGGAGGAGAAGAGAGAGGAAAGGACAGAAATAAATGTTTCTCTAAAACACACCCTCAATGAACTATTCTCTTCAACCAAGTCCTGCTTCTTAAATTTCCATTACTTCCCAAAAATGCCATCAAATTATGAGTCCATCAGTGGATTCATCCACTGACGAAGTTAGAGACCTCATGATCCAATCACCTTTCAAGAGCTCCTCTATCTCTAAATGTGCTGTGTTAGGGATCAAGGTTCCAACACACGAGCCCTTTGGGGGACTTTCCAGATCCAACTGTAACACTGAATATGTGTTACTTACGGGAAAACATGTGAAGAAGTACTTTGGTAGCGTATTATGGATTTTGATATTGATTAGCTTATCATCTATGACTGGTAACCTAGAAACCTTTTCCTGTAATAAACCAGGCAGAGACAGAAATATGCAGTGCTCCTAGAATTTTGTGCACGTTTGAATGCATATTATGGTCCAGTACTATTCCTGCTTCACTTCAATTATGTAGCCCAGAACTGTGGAAATCACCTTCTGAGATAATTGGAGGCATAGTTGTCATAAAGCAATCAGTCATTCTTCAAAGATTTGAATTCCACAAATGGAATCATGAAACTGGTTAGGGAATCTCTGCTTATTTTATAAAACTACATCATTTTCCTATACATTCTAGTTTTGAGATTATCACAAATGATATGAAGTGTATTCTCCAATACCCTTAAAGAAGCAAAAAGGCAATCGGCAAGTGACAAGCAATGACAACAGCAACCTTCTTTCTGTCCCTTATATTTTATCCAGGTTACCTGCTTAAAAGAAGCTTAAAACCAGTTTCTCTCAAGACCTAGAGGGATCCAGTAAAATTGTTTTGGTGAAACAAACATTCCTTCAATTCACTTAAAATTAGAAAATGTGAAAAAGAATAGTGTACACAGTATGTGTCAGGAACTCTTGCAAGCATTTTTCAGATATCAGTTCATTTACTTTTTACAATGGCACTAAGTTGTAGTACTATTATTGACCCAGTTTTTGTAAATAAAAACTGGAGGTACAGAAAAATCAAGTGTAGTGTAAAAGACCATCAATATGTGGGCATATGATTCTCATCCAATTTTACAAACCTGGGGAGAAGGGAGGCTCTATCAACTATACTAGCTCCAAAGTGGCATACACTGGGACTGTAAATGAATAGGCACTTTAGTACTACCCCAACTTAGAGGCTACTCACAGTGAAATTCTGGATTTTTTCCCTTGAGCTGGAGACCCTATACAATTTAACCTTTACGGATTATCAACAGTTACCCTTTAAAAATTCCATTAAAACTAACAAATTGCTCATCATGGAGGATTTTTAGTTAAATGCCAGAAATTTCTGTTTTGCCTGGAACTGATTTTTAAACTTTAAAAAATTAAATTATAGATTATAATTTCAAGAATTCCAAGAATTATGCATATCTAATATTGTTTGTGATATGAATATGGGCATAAGCAGAAGATGAATTCATAGAAAGTTTTCATTTCATTGAAATGTTAAAGGGAAATGTATTTCTGAGGCAACTGATAATATGACCTTGTCTTTCACCTTACTCAAGATAGAACACATAAAACTCATTATCCCTTCCTTTCTTTCTCTATCCTTCCCTGTTATAGTTTGTGTCTAGATGTTCTCCCAAAGCCTCATGTGGTCATAGGTGGGCCTTTCTGGAGATGGCTGGATCTAGAGTGTGTGACGCTGACATTAAGGATGCGACACTGGGATTGACTGATGGTTATGTTAGGGTTAAGGGGTGAGTGTTAGGGCAGGTAACCTGGATAAAATATAAGGGACAGAAAGAAGGCTGCTGTTGTCATTGCTTGTCACTTGCTGATTGTCTTTTTGCTTCTTCACTGCTTTGCTGTCTTCTTCCCACCATGAACTGTTTCTCCTCCGTGTTGCCAACCTACCTTGGAACTAGGCAACTATGAAATGCAACCTCTACAAACTGAGAACTAAATAAATCTTTTCTCCTTTAACTTTGGATGTTGGGTATTTTGTCTCAGTAACAAGAAAGTAACTAAACTGTCCCCCACTCCCGCAATTCCTCCCTCTCTCTCCTCTTTCCTTTCCTGAGGATCAAATGCAGGGCTTCACACATGATAGGAAAGCACTTTATCACTGAGCCACACCCTCAAGCCTTCATAGTGTTCTTTCAAAAACAAACAAACAAACAAAACAAAAGCTTTTCAAATAATTCCAGTGTGTGGGATTATTTAGTTTCTAACATTTTCCCTCCTTCATCAAAAAGTGTCCTTTGTGTCTCATACTCTACCAAGACCCTCCGTGGTGTTTGGCTCCAGGAAGTTAAGGTCTGAAATCTCGATGAAATATCAGTTCCTGAGTCAGAGATGATGCGTCAGGATGAGCACAAACCTGTTTCTTATTATTGCTGCACTCTCTGCAGAGTTGGAGCAGTGCTAAGGCACAAAATATGAGGAGCATGGGGTTCTCAAATGCTTGCTAATCAAAACCAGTGTCATCCCCAGAACATAAGACCAATAAAGAAGTCTTTGCTGCTATCAGCAAGGTCAAGAAGTTGTATGTACTGTTCCTATGTATTTGTGCTTTTTATTTTGTACTGAGCACATGCCTCTTTGGTGATCCTTTTATAAAAGATAACCCCACACTCCACATTAGGTTGTGTCTTTTTTGACTGCATATGTCCTTGTTTGTGACCCGGGAAGAGTTACCTTAAATGCTGATGGTCAGTCCTTTTGCCAAAGGGGACCTTGGATTGTGCTTTGCTATACTGGCTGAAAATTCTGATGTTTTATAACATCACTGACTCACTTTTCCCAGATCACTAAATAGATGATTGTAGGTTCACAGACCATCTCTATGTTACACTGGATGTTAAGAGGAATGCCTGAAGAGCTGAAGGAATTTAAATAACTCTAACAGTGAATTATCTGCTCTTAAAAATGCCTTGTGTGGGAAAATTACACTGTCCTTCCATGACTATGACAGCTCAATAAAAGTTGACTAAATGAATTCTTAAAGGGGACCTTCATGTTAATCTGGCTGCGTGTCAAATCTATGTCAAGAAGCTGTTTCCATGAGTACACTGGCTAGAACCCTTGTCTGGAAGCCTGGAGCGGAGTCAGACTTTGAAATGAATGGAAAGCCAATCTGGTGCATTTATCAATAAGTATTTCTTGGAAAATCTGTTTTATGCCAGGCTACGGGATATAAGGTATCTTTGATTATTGCAGAGGAAAGATTTTATTGGGGTTTAGTACCTATCCCATTAAAGACATAAAATATGGCTAGTTTCATCTCAAACCAGCATGGTAAAACCATATATCTTTGAACCAGATACCTCAAATATTTTTATAATAATAATTCTCTATTTTTAATCTCAGTTCAATCATCCCTGACAGATAGTCATATAAACAGCAGCACAGGTTGTTAAATTAGGTCTTATAGTAAACATATCAGGTCTCTTTGTGTGCAGCATGTTCCTATAAGTTTGCTCATAGGACACAGCACAACTGTCTAAGGTTTGAATGCTGGCACCGTCACATAACTTGAGCCGACCACATAACCTCCATGATCCTCCGTCTCCATGTCTATGAAGTGATTAACTGATACCATCATAAGAACACCAGTAAATGGGTGGAAATTTCTTAAATAATAGGCAATTTTTAAATTGGGCCCTAAGAAGTAAACAGGTTTTCCTAGGCAAAGAAAGTGGAAGGTCATCAGTTGACCTGATTGGATTATGGACACCTCAAGGGTATGTACACTGCTATTTCTTTTTTCTTTAAATTTTATTTTAAAGAGGAAAACAAAATTTCAAAACAAGATAATAAGAGGGTAACAGTGTTAATAATTGCATATTCTTTATTTTATTTTATTTTTTAAAAACATAACACACACACACACACACATATATATATTTTAATTTTTTTTTTGTACCAGGAATTGAACTCAGGACCTTGCACTTGCTAGGCAGGTGCTTGTGCCACTGAGCTATATTACCAGCCCTGTGTTATCTTTAAATTAGTTACTCAGAGTACAAGATATCGGCATTTAATTGTCTGAACAATATTAGCACAAACCTTTCTTTTTGATGAACTAAGAGAAATTAGAAGTATAACTACCTTAAATATTATATATATGTATTTCTTTTTGCTTTTTCCTTTCTTCTTTTCTCCTTTCCCCCATTCCAGTTTCTCTTTCCTTATGAAAAGTTTCTTCCCATTTCACAATATCTATTGTACATTTTGGATCTTATTTACTCTTTTAGCTTCTCACACCAGAGACAATACAATGTTTACACATGTGAGTCTGATTTATTTCACTTATGAGTATGGTCTTGAGTTGCCTCCATTTATCTACAAAAGTCTCCAGTTTATTCTTTTTTATGGCTGAGCAGAACTCCATTGTATAAAGAGACCATATCTTTTTTATCCATTCCTCAGTTGATGGGCATTTGTGTTGTTTCCAAATTTAGCTATTACACATTGGTACGCTGCTATTTAATCTCAAGATTATCCTCTAAAGGTAAGGAGCAAGATCTTTGGCTATTTTTTTTATCTCTTATTATCACTTTAGGGTGTTTTTTTGAAAGCCAAAATAAAACAAACCATAAGAAATGCTGTTAACATTGACCTTTCTCGGTGCTGGGGATTGAACCCAGAATCTCATACATGCTAAGCATGTGCTCGACTACTGAGCTGCACCTCCAGCCAGTAATGTTGTCTTTCATTGGTGAAGTTGGTGGCTAGTTAATTGGCATGAAGTATGTTAGAAATGAGTACTCAGTGGCCATGTTAGGGAGTAGTCAAGGTATGGGGACTGATGAATATATTTGAGAAATGCTACTGTCTTGCATGAATGGAGTATAGGAAGTTAGCAAAGTCTCTTAATTTTCACTCTTAAGAATGGCATCCCATGGTGTACAGGGCCCAGGTCCCGAAGGTGCAGAAGGTGATGGTGCAGCCCATCAAACTCATCTTCAGGAAGTTGCAGAATAGATCCTGGATTCAGGTGTGGTTGAATGAGCAAGTGAAGATGCAGACAGGGGGCTGTATTGTTGGTTTTGATGAGTACATGAACCTTGTACTAGATGATACAGAAGAAATTCATTCTAAAAGGAAGTCAAGAAAACAACTATGTCAGATCATGCTGAAAGGAGATAATATCACTCTGCTACACAGTGTCTCCAACTAGAAATGATCAATGAATTAAGACAGCAATGAAGTGAGGCAATGGCAATTATGACAATATGTAAAAAAGGGCCGCCGATTAAGTGGTTTCACCACGGAGTGTTTGTAAAACATTTGTTCATACTGTTTTGACTATGCTTATGTTTTTACTACCCTTCTGTTTTTACTGGAGGGCAATAAATGTAGAGTTGTTTTTATTAAAAAAAAAAAAAAAAAAGAATGGCATACCACATATGACTTCCAGTCAGCGTTGGAAGGGTCTAATGGCTTCTCTGATTCTTGGTTACCAGCGTCTGAGTACATGGATGGCTGATTCCCATCATCAGAATGTTGTCTTACTTGCCTCACGGGAGCTTCAAATGAAGTTTTGTAGACAGAAATCTAGAACTTCACATAAGGTCAAGTTAAGGATGTTGTTTCACTGTTTTATGTCTGCTTGCTAAAAGGTTCTATTGCAGAAAAATACAGTGTGAGGCTTACTTTCATTATAGCTGAGTAACAGGGTTGTGGGTAAATAGTTAGTTTTCACCTATTTCACATGTCTTCCGGGGCTATCATTAGCTACCAAAAAGAGTTGAGCATAATCTCATTAGCTTGAGACTAATGTAAATTATCTTAGAGCTCACATAAAGGCATAGATGCGTCAGAGCCTAGGGGCTCAGGGCACAGCTAGACGTTCAGTCTGGAGTATAGGACCATTTTGTTTGAGGAGAACGATAGCATGAAACAAGTTTAGAAAATAAGTTTGGGGCCACCTGGTGGAAGACACTTGTGTTTCAACCTAATCATTGCATTTGCAAAGGAGTCCTTTGAGAAAGAAGGGGAATTACGTGCATTGGTTCAGATTTGCTCTCTGGCTGCTATCTACCAAAACAGGGAGGAGTTAGAGCAAGGGTTCTGAGCTATGACCTGCAGGATTATCCTTACCTACTTCTGTTTTAGTGTAGACTGTAAGCTAAGAACAGCTTTTACAATTCTCTGTGGGGGAGGGACGAGTGAAAAAGAAGAAAAATTATACACCATAGAAAATAATGTGGAACTTAAGTTCCAGTGTCCATATATGAAGTCTTTCTGGATCACTGCTATGCCCTTTCATTTATGTTTCATTTATTGTTGTTTTTGCTCTACAGTGATGGAGCAGAATAGTTGTTACAGGTAAAGCTCTCAAAACCTAAATTGTTTGCTGACTGGAGTTTTACAGAAAAAGTTTGCCAGCCCTTATGTTAGACAAGGATTGCCATAGTCCATGGTGCTGAGGGTGTGGGGAAAGAGGCTTCCTGAGAGAGTAATTAGAAGGACTCAGAAACAGACTGAATTTTGGTGATGAGATGGATCCTATGATTCCTCATCTTCTTTGTTTGTCTAGTAAGTGATAATGAGCATTTAGAAGCATGGAGACATTGGGAAAGAAAACGATTGGTGAATATTACAGTTTAAATACAAAGTGTCCTCCAGACACTCAGGTATTGTGGGCTTGATCCCCATTTCAGCAATGTTCAGAGGTGGAGCCTAGCCAAGGCGTTGGAACATGGGAGTGTTATACTCATTGGTGGGTTAGTTCATCCATGTGTTCATGGCCAGATGTATTGCTGGCTTGGTTGGAGAAAGTGTATCACTTGGGATGTGCCTTTCAAGATTATATCCCATCCTCAGCCCCTTCTCTTTCTCTAGATCTTCTTGCTCTCTCTGCTTCCCGGCCACCAGAGTGGGCAGCTGTCCTCTATCTTGCAGGCCCTTCTACCATGAGGCAGCTGACAATAGACTGAACCCTTGGAAACCATTAGCCCAAATAACACTTTTTTGTTTAAATTGTGTATGTCGGGTATTTTGTTCCAGCAGTGGAAAGGTGAATCTGGTGGGGTAGACCTTATTTTGGATTGCCCTTGAATCTGAGCTAACTACTGACAATCTAGGTAGAGGAATCTCATGGGTATTTATTGAGGGATGTTGGGGATGGATATTTGAGGATTATTTATTGAAGGTTCTATTGGAAATTTGAATGTTTTAAGGTTAGGCCAAAGAAGACAAAGTCAGAGAAGGAAGGGAACTTGGATACGTAGAATTCTAAGGAGAAATCAAAGATAAAGAGCCCTTGTTTCAAAGAAGGAATGGCTAAGAGTATCAAATGCTGCAGAAGTCAAATAGCTGAACAATTAAATGGTTCATTACATTTAGCAGTTGGCAGGTTATTTACAGTATTGAGCAGTTTTACTACAGATGAGGACTCTCTACTTAAGCATGCCTATTTGGGCTTCCATCGATATCTCAAAGTCAACATATCCTAGTGTGAACTCATCATTTCTAATTCTGACACTGTACTACTGAAATCAGTATTTTTTTTCTTAGTGATGATTCCGTCTATCCAGGTAATGAGCCAGAATCCTGGGTATTAGGTTGGGCATGTCTTTATCCCTCACCCCAGTTAGCCAATCAATCACTAACCATGCTGATTCTGTCTCTTTAGTATGTCTTCAGCATGCACAGGAACTATTTCATTGTCATCCCTATGATACAGTTATTACAAGAGTCTTTGCTAGACTCCTGTAATGGTGTGTTAACTGCCCTTTTCCATCTATTCTCGCTTGTCCAATTTAGTCTTTTTTAATTTTAATTTTTATTGTACATGTTTGAAACACATAATGGTTAATTCACTGTGGGGAGTTCATACATGCACATAACACATCTTAATTCTTTTTACCTGTCCTTACCCTCCCTTCCTGCCACATCCTTCCATGTCTTGGTTCCCTTCTCATTTGCAGAAGATTTATCTGCCTAGCGGGGCATGGTGGTGCGTACCTGTAATCTTAGCACTTGGGAGGCTGAGGCAGGAGGATCACTGTGAGTTCAAGGCCAGCCTGGGCTACATAAGCAACTTTAAGGCTGGCCTGCATTACATAATGAGACTTTGTCTCAAAAAATAAAAAACAAAACCAAAAACAACCACCACAACAAACATCTACCTGTTTCCTACTATCTATTTTTTATTTTGTTCTTTCATTTGTTTATACTAGGGCTGGGGATTTAGCTCAGAGGCACAGTGCCTGCCTGGCAATCGCAAGATTGTGAGTTTGATTCCTGGTACCGGAGAAAAACAAAAAAAAAAAAAAAAAAAATTTGTTTATACTTTGGGCTACTCATATAAGATAATCCATGTGACATTTAATCTTGTGTGTCTGATTTATTTTACTTAATCTTATGGTCTCACATTACCTCCATTTTCCTACCGATGAACCAAATCTACCCTTTATAGCAGAATAGTATGCCATTGTGTATAAATACCACATTTTCTTAATCTGTTCATCTCTTGAGGGACATATAGATCACTTCCAAGATTTAGCTATTTTGAAATGTGCTGCTACAAACACGGATATGCATGTAACACTATGATATGATATGTTTAATACTTTGGGAAGATATGTAGAAGGGAAATAGCTAGGTGGAATGAAACTTCTATTTTTAGCTTTTTGAGGAATCTCTATACTGATTTCCATAGTGGTTGTATTAGTTTACATTCCTACCAACAATGTAGAAGGGCTCCTTTTTCTTTCCAGCCTTGCCGGCATTTCTTCTTTGATTTCTTGATGATAGCCATTCTTTCTAAAGTAAGATAAAATCTCAGTGTTGTTTTAATTTCCATTTCTTTATGGCCAATGATGAAATATTTTTTCATGTATTTATTAGCTACTTGTATTTGGAGAAGTGTCTATTCATTTCAGTTGCCCATTTTTTTTGATTTTGGTCTTTTATTTTGGAGGGCCTGTTTTTTCAAAGTTTTTTTTTTATATGTATATTCTAGATATTAGTCTTTTGAGGTGTAGCTGACAAAAATATTTTTCCCATTGTGTAGGTTGTTTCTTCAGCCTGTTGGTTGTTTCCTGTGCTGTGTAGCTACTTTTTAATTTGACATACCATTTGTTGATTCTTGATATTATTTCTTGTGCAATTGGGATTCTGTTCAGAAAGTCCTTGTCTATTTCTAGGACTTTAAGAATTTTACCTACTTTATCTTCCAGCAGGTTAGGTGTTCCTATTTTAATATTTAGATCTTTGGTCCCTTTTAATTTTTTGTTTAATACATGGTGAGAGATATGAGTTTAGATTCAATCTTCTCCCTGTGAACAGATGATTTTCCAGAACCATCTTGCCTCCAGCTACATTTTTGGCCTCTTTGTCAAATGTCAGGTGACTGAATGTGCCTGAGGGTGCCTCTGCACCCTCTCTTCTGTTCCATGGATCCACATGTCTGTTTTTGTGCCAGTACTGTGCTGTTTTTTGCTTTTTTTTTAATCACTGTAGCTTTTTAATACATCTTGAAATCTGGATTATAATACCTCTTGCTCTGTTTTGTTACCTGGGATTGCTTTTGCTATACTGATGTCCTTTCTGTAAGCACTTTAGGAATGTTTTCTCTAGTGCTATGAGGAAGGCTGTTGGTATTTTGATTGGGATTGTGTTAAATTTTTGTATTAGCTTTGGAAGTATAGCCATTTTGACAATATTGGCTTTTCTCATCCAGGAACTGAGGGTGTCTTTCCATTTTCTGATGTCCTCTTTGGTCTCCTTTTTCAGGGTATTGTAATTTTTATTGCTGTGGTCTTTCACTTTTTTATTTAGATGAATTCCTAAGTATTTACTTATTTGATGCTGTTGTGAATGATGTTGTTTCTCTAATTTCTTTGTCCGTGGGTTCATTATTGGTATACAGGAATGCCGTTGATTTTTGTGTGCTGATTTTGTATCTTGCTACATTGTTGAATTTGGTTGTTAATTCCATGAGTCTTTTTTTTTTTTTTTTGGCCTTTTTGAGACAAGGTCTCGATTTGCAGCTCAGGCTGGCCTTGAGCTCACTTTGTAACCCAGGCTGGCCTCGAACTCAGAACGATCCTCCTGCCTCAGCCTCCTGAGTGCTGGGATTACAGGCGTGCGCCACCATGCCCCGCTTCCATGAGTCTTTTGGTGGAATTACTTGGTTCTTCTTTGTAAATGATCATATCATATTTGCAA